CCCACTTGAGCCTTGCATCTCCCATGGAAAAGCACTTCCAATCCTCTGATGTTGTTGGGGATGGGTGGACCCCCACCCTGGCCAGACCGAGGCCAGCGTCCCTGCGCTGTGGTGGACCTTCTTGCAGAAACAACAGCACCCTCCCGTTTGGATGTTGCAATCTTGCAAAAACGCGAAAGGAGTTAAAGAAGGGCAAGGCAGCTAAGATTTCAGCAGGATGTCCTGGAGTGCCCCAAAAGATGCGTCAGCGATATGGGGCAATTCCAGAACAGATGCAGATGACAAAGCCTCCCCCCACCCCAGGGCAACGTTCGACAAACAGCCCTCTCCTCACAGAGATCTGTCTCCACCCACCCCGTTGCATCCCTGCACGCATCATCCTTTTCCCCCTCACGTTTCCTTCCGCTTAGCTACTGGGGGGGTCTTCATAATATGACTCATGAAGAAAGGGGAGGCCTGTCCCGCAACATCCTTGCTCCCATCTAACCCTCAGCCCGAACTTCTTCCCGTGAGCAACAGCCAGCTCCGCTCTTTCATTTAGCAAGAGGCAAACCCCAGCAAGAAGGTCTCGTGGGCATCGGCCACGTTCTCAAGCACTTTCACACATTCTTCAAGAGTGTTAAGGACTAGAAACCTGACATTTTATTTCAAAAGAAAAGTGAGCCCGAAGGCCTGCAGAGGGCACGGACGAGCCGGAATTCTGTTTTGTAATTAGCCAGAGAGAAAGGTGAAATCGCACTGCTGGCTTTGAATTGCTAAAAACAGAGAGAGAGAACTGTCCGGCAGCTACGCTCTGATGCCGGAAGGATGCTGAACGCTGCTCAGGGGCACCTTTGCGCATGCTCAGAAGCATTTTGCTCCTTGTCAACTGGGCCAACTTGTCAGTTGCACAACAAACAACTGAAATGTGCCCAGAATGCTGCTGCAAGAGAGGTTGGACTACAACTCCCATCATTTCCAGCCAGCCGGGTCATAGCAGGCAACCTATTTTGCAGGGAGCAGGCATGAGGCAGAGGCTTGGGCGGGGTGGGGTGTCCCTGTTGCATGGGGCCCCCCATTTGCAGAGGATGCTCTTCCTTGAAAAATCAAGCCCCCTCCCACCTCGCCCCCCAACCCAACGTTGCTGTGCGAGGGGCCCC